GGGATTCCCTTTATGCCGGTTTTCGATCGGTTCGCCTTTCACTTCGCCTTTCAGTTCGCCAGCTGCAACTTCGTTCGTCGTATATCGCTGATCTTGCGCGAAATACGAATTCCCAAATTTTATGGTATTTAGGAGAAAAATTGACACAGCCGAAGAAGAAGATGAAGCATGTAAGAAGATACTGACTTGCAAATTGGATTTTAAATCAAATCGTTCGAGAACGATGAATTCGCATAGAAGTCTTTGTCTCGATATTTAGTCGTCTTTCTCTCTCTCTCTCTCTCTCTCTCTCTCTCTCTCTCTCTCTCTCTCTCTCTTCTCAGCTCTTCTCTGCTTCATGTGTTTCAGTTTAATTATCAGCCCGTATGTTTTTGTCTTGGTAAATTGCAATTATCCGCCCATTGTTGGGGTTAGATTGATTTTAAAGCGAGAGATTTCAGGTGTATTATAACGTGTGAGGTCGTCGAGTATAAGAGAGAGAGAGAGGGAAAGAGAGAGAAAGTTTTCGGTTCTAGGAGGCGATAAAGCTTTAGATTAGGTTAAGCGGTTATTTAGACTAACAGCGTGGCAAGTGGTCTCATTTCCCTCTAGATTATGCGTGCTACGAGGGAAATATTAATAGAGATTCGATGACAGGCATAATGACGGTAATAATGGCCGTTTTGATAAGATAAAAAGTTGCTTAAAATGGAAACGAGGATTGCAACGTTATTCAGATTAAGTGATGGTTTTTAAGAGAATTATTCGCTGTTCGGTAATTGAAGTTTCTAACTTTCGTTTTAACTTCAGTTTAGAGGTTAGGTCAGTCAGTTCAGAAATCAGAACTTCTCTTATTATTTATATAATATTAGTAGTAATTCCGGGTGGCCAAATGACACTTTAAGAAATTATTTTATGCATTCGAGTTTTTAACTTTCTTTATTGGAGGTTAGATTGGTTGGTTCAATTAATCTAGAGTTTTAGTTCAGTTAGTTTAAAAAGCTTAGAGCTTCTGTTACTAACTCACACTATTAAATATCAACATAGTAACTCCAAGAAATGATACTTTAAAATATCATTTGGCGTTGGTTTAATTTTTCATTATCAGTTAGTTTAGAAGTTAGGTCAGCTGGTTTAATTAGTCCAGAGGTTAGTTTGACTTCTATAAAAATCAAAATTTCTGTTATTACTATTTATTGTTAGAATCTTCAATCATTACTGGTATTTACTATAAAATGTTAATCAATAGTCAATATTAGTCAAAGTGGCAACTCTAATTTTTTCAATAGGTCACTAAATCGAAAGGTGAATTCGCCTGTACATGTCAACGCGTGGGAAAGAAAGAATTCATCAGTATAATAGCGTGGCAAACAAGGGCGCACTAACACGCGGGACAATAAAACAGACGAGAGATTAAAAAGTTGAAAGCAATAAATCAAACTTTATCTTGTCTGGCAATTTTCTAGGTTGTTCAGATTTCCGACTTTTCACGAATTCCTATCGACACGACGATACCGAAACGCTTAATGGACAGCGAGATATGAAATTACACATTTGAAACGAGATGAAACGTCGAGTCTCTCCCGTGATTTCCGTAATTATTGTACGTCGAGGGGGGAAATAATTAAGAAAAATGATCCGCGCGATCGTCAGGAACTTGCCGACGAGACTACAGTTTCAATAACAAAGAAGAAGAAACAGAAACGTGTCTTTGAAAAGAAGAAAAGCATTTCCTTCTTAATTTCTACAAGCGTACGCTTCGTCGAACAGGGGATTCCATTTACCGTGCGACGTGAAAACTTTTCAAAAGCGAGACGATATCGGCGTCCCTCATTCGCCAGATACTGATCCGATGGAATTTTTCCAGCGATGCTGGAACACTGGTTGGGGATATATAAGGGGACGCGTGAAAAATTCAACTTCCATACGTCTCCGATCGTCGATAGAACGTGCCACGGCTTCGTGCTCCTAAGAGAAATTCGGCAGGAAGGGTGGAAACGGTGGAATGATTTTTCCCCGCGATCCTTAGCCCTTGCCGCGCAGCCCCATTCGACGAAACTGGCAACAAGAAAATTTCCACTGGAAATTACGTATTCCGGTCGATGTCTAACCTTCTCCTCCTTGGCTCGTCACGATCCTCGAGTTTCGATCACGAGAGAATCGATTTGGCGAAATCGCGATAGCTATACCGACACCTAACTACGATCTTCCATCCCCCCCCAGGTTTCGTACCACGCTCCAATTTTAAATGAAACATACATTACGCGATATTGTAGACGTTCGATTGTTCCAGCGTAAGTTGAATCGAGCAAAATTGAAAGCTAGATTAAACGTGAACTATCCTGCACTGTAACTTCGTCAAGACAGTGAAATTGGTCTCGTTTTAAAGTGCCAAGCTTCTGCTTTGAAAAATTCTCTTTTTTTCCTCACGAAGATGATTTTGCGTCGTGTAACGAGTAAGAAAGCAAAGAGTACGGTTTCTCTTTTTTTTTTTTTTTTTGAGGAAAGTTGTAAAAATTCGAACAATTTGCCGAGTGAAAGCTGTAAAAAATTTCTTTTCCCGTGGCTAATTATACAAGAAGCTCACGAAGACTGTTATATTTATCCCTTAGAACTCGCTGCACGATTTTTCTTTCACCGTTTTATTCAAACGTTGGAATCTCTTCAATTTTCGTCGTTCGACCCTTGATGAAATGTTCAACACTTGATGAAAAAAAATCGCGGAACAATTCTTAAGAGACTTCGACATTGGATCCTACTCTTTAAAATGAATAAATGAATTATTAGTCAACAAAATGACACGACTGATAGTTTCCGGAGACGAATCTTTTTACCATCTTTCAGAGATTTCCTGCATACATTCCCGCGAGTTATTAACCGCGATGGCAGAATGAAAAACAAAATCGACAAGCTGGCCATTGTTCCCCATCGGGAGAAACTGGGAACTTCAATGGAACTGTTAATTAATCCTCACCGCGGACCATGCTCGATAAAGTACCTCGATAGTTATATGTACATTCTCGCAAAACTGCCCGATATTTTCTTCGCCACCAAGTATAGGTAAGACGCAAGAAACAAAGAGGAGGGAGCCGGATATTCGTCGTAAACAAATGGCTATGTAACGTTCGAAAAAAGAAAAAAAGAAAAAATTCCCCAGGAAAATTGAAGTATTTATTTAATGAACTGGGTTACTCTTGCTGGGCTAGGAATTCGAGATATTTGCATTCGAATTGCGCGAGTTATTACAGCGACGGTTGAGGAGGACAATTGCGGTGAATTAAGGGGGAACAAAGGATTTACTTTAGGATTGAAAGAATATAATTGAACCCTTTCAGCCTGGAGTATTGTACTCTTGCGCGTGCTATGTACTTTCAACTGGATAATTGCATAATTGGTTTAGATAATTGCATAATTGGTTTAGTAGAATTTAATCCTTTCGGTGTTAGGTTAGAATATTGAGTAATCTTATAATCAACAATGAAAAATGATGTTAGCGCCTAACGTATTGGAGAATAAAGAATTTAATTGACACTGGAAGAATATAATTTATAACCCTTTAAGTTAAGAGTATTACAGAGATAATCTTATAATCAATAATAAAACGATTAATATTTAACTGGTTGCAGGACAAAGAATTCAATTGTTATTGGAGAAATAATTAAATAATTAAACCCCCTTCAGTGTTGAACCAGAGTATTACACAGATTATCTTGTAATCAATAACAAAATAATTGGTTTATCTATTCAGAAATTCAAAGAGGCATAGGTTCTTCGAAATGAATTTCTACTTTTTCATTATTCGATTCGAAGATCGTTTGTACATACATTAAAGAAGAGAAATCTCGAAAGTCAAAAACAATGAAACAAATGACTTGAGTTCTTAGATAAATAAAAAAAAGGATTTTAAATTTACAAAAGGGAGTGAAAGTAGTCGGGAGATTTGTCCTCCCTGTATGAAAATATCTTTGAAAAATACGATCCACTGTTATCGTAGGATCACTATCCTCAGGCTTTTAAACACTATGTTATATAGAAGGTGGCTGGAAAATACTCAGGTGATTGGACCATTCCTTACCTCCAAAGACTCATATCCGCTTGCAGTTTTACGTTTCTCTTCGGTTTAACCTCTTCACTTTGCTTTTATACTTGGCGCTCATGTTTACGTCCTTCGTATTTTCCTTCGAGTCTCTTCTCGAGTCACTTCACATCTTACGCTTCAGAAACATCGTTTCTCGCGCAGAGAAAGTAAATTCACCGAATATAATATAGTCGAGATGTTTCAGTGAATATACAAAGTACGGAGCGCAGTTTGAAAAAATTCTGGCTGGCAACTATTATCAAAATTGTTTCACTCGTTTAACTTAATAAATGAAATGAAACAATGAATAATAATGTACGTGAGTGGCAAAAATATTCAACGTAGTTTATAAAATAATGAACATAACATACGCAGCTAGTAAAAGTGCAAAATAAATGAAATAAGATAAGTAAATTAAATAAATAACAAATATATAATACTAGTGCAATATGCATAAAGTCAAAATGTTCAGGTAGAGTATCATAGTACCCATATTTGCAAAAATTTCCTGATTCCGTTGATACACCATAATTGTAGAAATTATATAAAATATTATATCAGAATTATATGAAATATTATACAAAATTGTGAAGTTAATTTATAAAGTAAATTTTATAATTGGTTTGGGTCAGTACAGTAGTCCCCATTTAAGTGTTCATCGATATAGTAATCCCCACCATTTCTTGGAATTGGGACTGTCTCCCTCTACCTGCCTAAGACCGCGTGAAACATCCCCACTCCTCACCCCATTCCGCTTTCGGTCCCGATTGTGAGTCCCCACTTAAGTGGAGACTACTGTATTTGTTTATTTTGGCAGCTGCTCTATTCCAAGAATTCGTCTTACGCGCTGTGCGTTGTTTCTTTTTTTTCTTCGCGTCGAGGCTCGAGTCGAGTCGATCGGCCAAGGCAGGTTCAGACAGATTTTGCCACGGCAGACAGACGAGACGCGCAGTTATCGTTCTTCGCGTTGAAGAAAATTGAGAAACCTCTCTGTACTCTACGTGGGAACTGCAGCGAAAATCCACGGAATGTTTTCGTTAATTAACTTCAAACGATAGGTGAATCTCTAGTATAATTATTATTTTAGACACTCGCTAGCCAAATCTGAATTATTAACAGCAGAATTTTAATGATGATTTCGACAAGTATATGTAATTTATGATAGTGGTGATGAACCTGTGTGTGTTTCATTGCATTATATTTCTATTACACAGGTGTTACGATTCATTAATAATAAATTCCAATAATAATTAGGAGTAATGTGCAATTAATAAACGTATATTAAATTGGTGCGAGTCATATATAAATATATATATATATATTATTAATAATAAATTTTAATAAAGGTAGTTTGACAGACGTAATTTGACATTAATAAACTTAATTTAAATTGTCGCAGACAGTGTGTTAGATCATGTCTAGTATACCATTAATCTACCAATGCATTATTATTTAATTGCAAATTATTAATTAAACCTCTATGGATTTAAATTGACTTATAGACATTGTCGGTCGATTATTATTTATTTGTAAAATTATATACCGCTATTATATAATGAAAGATTAATTATCTACAAAAGAAGGAAATTTTAATCGTTATTTTTCACTTTTTATTATGTACTGTCTATATTAACATTAGAACTACATTTCACACAATTTTCTACAGAAAGTTTATGTATTTGTATAGCAGTGTAAGTTTTCGAGACACAAATTTCCAGAAAAATCACATGAATTATTATATAAGAATTAATAATTTTATTTTAATTATTATATTAATTATTATATAAGAATTATTATAATTCTTATAATTATAATTAAATAATATAAGAATCATTGTAATTAATTATTACATAAGAATTAATAATTTTATTTTAATAATTATTATATAAGAATTAATAATATTATTAATATAAGAATTGTTATCAATTATTCCCTACACTTTAATTTCTCTGTTGCGAATTTTATACTTCGGTCGTTTTCAAATTCGACGTACGAATCTTGGAGAAAGGGATGCAAATTCTGAAGTATCGTGTTCCCTTGTTGTCCCCAGGTTTTCACACGTACTCGCTGAACGAAACGACACACACGCACACAGAGCGAGAAGAAGACGAGATCCTGACGGTGAGATACGAGGATGGCAAGTGGTCGAAACCTTACTATGATTGCGGGGGCGGGAACATTTGGATGTTGACTTACACCGTCCCCTTCTTCGGATACGTCAACGACACCTATTTCTTCAAGTAAGCCCTTTGTTCCATCAACATCGAAATTCAACTGACAAACAAATGTAAACAATTTTTTAATTCTGATTTAATTTTAATATATTTTAACATAACACTATACTATTATATTAATATATTTATATTATATAATTTTAATATATTTATATATTATATAATTATATAATTTTAATATATTTATATATTATATAATTATATAATTTTAATATATTTATATATTATATAATTATATAATTTTAATATATTTATATATTATATAATTATATAATTTTAATATATTTATATATTATATAATTATATAATTTTAATATATTTATATATTATATAATTATATAATTTTAATATATTTATATATTATATAATTAATAATTTTAATATAACGTAATACCATGCTATTGATAACTTTATTATATGAAACTAATTTAGTTATAAATTTTCAAATTGAATTTAAAAATGATGGTCGTCTTAATGATTAAAAATTAGAGCTGCATTGACTCGGATGGGGAAACCGTCGACGATTAAAGCATGAAACTTCCATCGGAGATGTTGAAACAAAAGAAATGAAGTAACTGTACATTTTACGAAAAATAATGTTGACAGAAATGATGAATTGATCATTTTGTTCACTTCGGTGTTAAGAATTGCACGCTCCAATGGAAATTTGCGAATTTTTGAAACTGACCTTTCAAAATTATTTCGAAATTATTCTTTAAATTACTTTACGCGCGATGATTTTTGAAAGAAACAAAACAAAATGAATATGTATTACATGGTTTGTCATTTGAATTTCGTACAGATTTAATGAATGCATAAATTTGAATGGTAATTGGGGGATGACATTGAATTTTCGAATTGTTCGATGAGTTTTTCAAACTGTTATTATTTTGATTGCCCTTTTAATTTAAGCTTCCATTAGCACACGTGCGAATATTTCGTTAACCCTCCGTAACCCAATCGGCAACATACTAGTCAGTAATTAGCAATTACAAATTTCCTTTAATCCATCGTTTTACATATTTCCATCACATGTTTCTACGTTTTAATTTTATTTGCATATTCATATTTTCTCGTGCCGCGTACGCGCGAACTTGCGTGGAGCTTAAGCTACGTTAACTAAGCGCACGTGGTTGTAGAATAAACAAAAAATAGAGTATTTTTTACGTAGAATTCGCGCGTAAACACCGGACTTTATGCATTTATGGAAATTTGCAAAGTGCAAATAAATACAGACACAGACTTCAAACGATACGATGTTCCAAAAATATAATGTATATAATTGTAACATATACGTGTGAAAATATAGTAATTCAAAAAATATAATAAAATAGTCAAAACTGCGGAATTGCGAGTATCGGTAGTACAAGCTAGGATAAAAATTTTTCCTGAGACGTTTCGTTTTGGAGGAAACTTTATTCGCGTGCAATTTCTCGCGTAATTATCAAAAATAAACGTGTCCTTGATTTTCTTATCCACTGCATGATATAAAAGCACCTTTAGTTTAAAGTATCGACAGTTTTTTTTTCCCTTCTCCTCGAGTTAGTTCTTCAATTTATTCTCTTTTTCGTTGCTGTAATTTTCGTACGTATCGTAATATGGTGATACATTTGCGGGGCGAGTTTACTTCAAGCGTGAAAGGTTAGGCGTGAAAGTAATAGTCCATTATTTACCTGGCCTTATCTCGAACATCAACGAGCCCGACGACGTGCCAGGGTCACGTGAATCTACCGAAATTCTAATCGGCCAATTGTTTCTAATTTATTGCACGAACGCACGCGAGCCAACGCCGGTCGATATCGAAAGTGAGATTTAAGTCGATCAACGGAGAAGTTTCAATGGACGTTCAATTGAAACAAGACTTCTCCGGCAATCTTTCTCCGAGTTCGTTCGATTGTTTCACCGAATTATTCGATTGCTTAATTTCAACCTGTTCGAGTAGTTTATCATTCTGCCTTCGAACTAATCATTCCTCGCTTCGTAATTTTACTGGCGAGTGATTTCATTTCAAAGTCACTAACAAGACCATCTCGCGTCGTGGTAATAACATTTTTCGTCTTTTTTAAAATTATTTTCTCTTGATCCTGAGATAACTCGTCATTGATAAGTATAGTCAGATACTTAGACTGAATTTATAGTCAGGTACTCACAAATAAAGTGAGTTTGTAGCCAGATACTCGCAGATAGTGTGAATTTATAGTCAGATACTTACACTCACAAATAGAGTTTATACTCAGATATTTAGAAGTAGAATGAGTTTATAGTCAAATGAAGTGAAGTGAGTTTATAGTCAGATATTTAGAAGTAGAATGATTATATAGCCAGATACTTAGAAGTAGAGTGAGTTCATAGTCAGATACTCAAAAATAGAGTGAATTTATAGTCAGATACTTGAAAGTAAAGTAAGTTTATAGTGAGATACTCAGAAGCAGAGTGAGCTTATGAGACAGCAATTAGTCTGAATTTCTAGTCAGGTACTCACAAGTAAAGTGAGTTTGTAGCCAGATACTCACAGGTAGTGTGAATTTATAGTCAGACTCACACTCACAAATAGAGTTTATACTCAGATATTTGGAAGTAGAATGAATTTATAGTCAGATACTGACAAATGAAATTAAGTGAGTTTACAGTCAGATATTTAGAAGTAGAATGATTAGCCAAGTGAGTTTACAGTCAGATATTTAGAATGACATAGCCAGATACTTGGAAGTAGAGTGAGTTTATAGTCAGATACTTAAAAGTAAAGTGAGTTTATAGTCAGATACTCAGAAGCAGAGTGAGACAGCTCATCAGCGGCGTCGCAAGAGAATTTATAGTCAGGTACTCGCAAGTAAAGTGAATTTGTAGCCAGATACAACTACTCACAGGTAGTGTGAATTTATAGTCAGAAGTAGAAATAACTCGTCAACCGAAGCGAGATACCTCGTCCAAAAGAAGACGTATCTTTCTATCAAATAAGAGAGAATGTCATACATAGTGTAACGGTACTGTCGTTTCGTAGAATACAGAAAGACACGTAGAACCCACGGTTTGAGAGAGAAGAAGAAAATAACAGAAAGAAAAGGGAAGAGGTGAGGACTGTCTGTTAGAGCTATAAGCATTGACTGTATCGATTGGATCAGGGTGCTCGAGTTCACAGCACGAGCCCTGATTATCATTATGGCCGACTGAAGTCGCGGGAAAATACAGCCGGCTATCCAGAGTGAGGGGGATTCAGCGTTTCCTGGGTCACTGGGATTTCTGTCGACGTCACAGCATTTATTTTATGAACGATGCGTTTCATCGCCCATTCCCTCGACACACAGGGTGTTTTGATGATTAGCCCTGAAACGTTTCGAGCCAATGTGAAAATGAAACTGAAGCATGTCGTGCAGAAAGTCCATAAATTCTTGGATTGCGTAATAAGTTCGTTCGCACCGTCTGTGATGAAATTAAATATTGATTATTCCTTGCAAATAAATTAAGTTAAGTGCCTTTGAAAGTCTCGTCCTCTTGTTGAAAGAATTTCATTTATATACTTGTATTTCTACGTACGTTGAATTATACAATTATCAAGTTCATTAGCAGTATCGTTCATTACAGTCAAGTATTTTCCATAATAATGAATTCGTGTAATAATAATTTTATTAATAAAATTTGTAACGATAAACTTTTCACAATGATAAATTCGTTCATCATGGTCGAATATTTTCTATAATAATAAATGAATGACCTTTGAAAAATATTTTAAATATTATATTTTTATATTATATTTATATTTTTTATTTTAAATATTATATTTTTATTTTATATTATATTTATATTTTTTATTTTAAATATTATATGTTTATATTATATTTATATTTTTTATTTTAAATATTATATGTTTATATTGTATTTATATTTTTTATTTTAAATATTATATTTTTATATTATACCTTTTTATAAATGTAATATATTTTTATATTATACTTTTTTATAAATATAATATATTTTTATATTATACTTTTCTATAAATATAATATATTTTTATATTTATATTTTTATATTATCAATTTCGTATGACACTTGAAATCTACCTGTACCGTTTTCTTTCTATTTACGATTTAAAAAGCAACATTTATCCATCGCAACGTTGAGAGGCGAACGAATTCATTACACAACAGTCTAGTCTTGGCTGACTCACCCGGTATATATGTCTGCTTTATCTATCCATTTCCGGATAACCTCCGCCATCAATCAATAGTAACACATCGAAGGAATATGCGCGTAGAAAAAGATGACATTCGTTCCCATTCGTTCCGCTTCTGATAATATTGCCTCCCCCTTCTCCACTCTCTTCGCGCGATCGATCGAAATTTGAATCGTTTGGAGCGATGGCCTCGAGTGATCACGAAATTCTAATCAAGAGAATTTTGAATGATTATTGTACTTCGCAGAATTTTAGCTTGTTACATTTTGTACAATTTTTGTTTGTATAACGTAATTGGGGAATAGTTTGTTCAAGCGAATTTCAGAGGATCGCTATATTTCGGAGGATCTTGGATACATTTTACATAATTTTGTACAAAATTATGTAATATCTTTGGGGAGTAGTTTGTTCAATTTTGAATTCATTTTGTTTTATATTAATTTCGAAAATTTATGGTATTGTTGCGTTTCATATTAATTTTCGATTTGTTATCACGTTTTAGGTTAAATCGCCTCGGACGCGTCAGATAATGTCTCCTAGCTACTTTTGAACTTTACCGACACTGGACCTCCACTTTTCTCCCTCCTTTTCTCTTAAACAAGTTTCGTACGAAAGTACGTAACAACTTGCTATCTTCCGTGAAATGTGTTACTTTAGACCCGTCAGCTTTGTGTATTTTAATTTGCAACAATCTTTGTACATGTGGAAATTCCTGGAACTTCTTAGATTTTTTCTTTTTTCTTTTTCCTTCGCCTTTTCCTCTCAGCGTAGAATTTACGACTTTTGCTGCATAATGCGTTATCTTATCTGCCACGATGTAGCCGTAGGTTTATCA